GAAATGATAAATTATACGATTCTTACAAAAATAGAATGAAAAAAGGAAGTCAAATATTTTGACTTGATGTAACAAATAATGATTATATTTTCTATTTCATTGGTCAAATAATGAAAAACAAACGAGCCTAAATTCAGTTATGAGTTTTTGAGTTCCTCTTGCCGATTTAGATGAAGGGAGGGCACACGGATTTGGAAATGATAAATTATACGATTCTTACAAAAATAGAATGAAAAAAGGAAGTCAAATATTTTGACTTGATGTAACAAATAATGATCATATTTTCTATTTCATTGGTCAAATAATGAAAAACAAACGAGCCTAAATTCAGTTATGAGTTTTTGAGTTCCTCTTGCCGATTTAGATGAAGGGAAAAAAAAAAAAAAAAACGGGGAGCATCTTGTTAGTCACGTGCTGTTAACCTGTGATTACTCCAACTTTAACGAGATCTAGGAAAGGTCACGTGCACTAATCGTTACGTGGACCCATAGCCCATTTACTAGAGCCCAAAATATTTCTTGTGCCGAAGAAAAATTTGCATATATTACACACACATGTTTTTTAACTTTTTAATTCAAAAATCAAATTTTTAGTAGATTTTGATAAAAGTTGATGAAATAAATGATTGAAAAATTGTGAATCCTATAAAATATGTAGTTAAAAATAATTATTGACTTTGACGTTCCACAAAACAAGGGTTTTAAAAGTTTTTGTTTAAAAATCAGTTGATAATTTAATTTTTAATATTTAATAATATTATTATAAAATTAAATTAATCAACATACGCCATCCACCTCACTCTCAATCTTTAAACTGTTCCTCGCTCTTCTCTCTCTCTCTCTCTAACAGCGACGCTCATCATTGTCGCTCGTCGCATCAATTATGCCATTAGCGATACTGTGCCAACATGGCTATGGGGACAGCATTACTTCTTGCGTTGGCGCGTCGTTGCTTTCTTTTTCATCTGCATCTGTGTTTCTCTATTTGTGTTGGTGTGATCTGTTTTTTATTTGTTATATCCTCTGTTTTCTTTTATTTTTGTTTGAGTCGTGTTGATGGTTGTAGTGGGGTAGAGGTGGAGGAGATGGTAGATTTAAGGAGGTAGTGGTGCCAATGACAGATTTGGGATTTTTGATGGTGATGGTGGTAGCGTGGTAGGTATGGAGGGTTATTAGTGGTGCAGTGCTGATGGTAGTGGCGATGATAGTCAACGGTGGCGGTGGCAGGGTTGAATCACTAGTGGTGTAGGTGGTGATGGTGGTGGTGTAGGTGGTGAGGTGACAAGGTGTTCGGTTGGTTCCAATGGGTGGGGTTTAAAATGGGATAAAGAGTGTTTGTAATTAATTATTCGAACGATGGTGACCAATAAATTGATTAATTTGTGATAGATAAATAATATGTAACTAATCAATAATATGTTATCAATAAATAATATGTGATCTAAAAAATGTGAAATTGCTACGCAATTTGTAATCGTAACTCATAATTTGTTAAGTTGTGCTAATTAATTTGATAATTTTTTATCGTAAAAAATTTTGTGATTTAAAAATAATGTGACCTATTAATTTAATAATTTGTGATTTATATAAGTTGTAACATATAAATATTGTATAATTGTGAACTTTATATATTTAATTAATAAAATATTTTTTATTAATTTATTTAATTAACAAATTTTAATTACAACCTGATCTTTTAATGTTTAAAACTAATTTCTTAAAAGCGACCGACTAATTTATGTATCGTTCCCAATATTTAATTTGTATTTTGAATGAATACTAGCGTTTTCTTGTGGCTGCATAATCAAATATGCTTCCCCGTTTCATCCTACAAAAAATTATGCAACACAGAGACTGGTTACAAGAAAACCTACACCAGAACTCTATCAACTTGGTTGTACATAGTATTGAACAATATTGCATCGCACAAGGAACAAAATTTTCAACTTGTTCATCATTTTTAATTCTATCTAGTACTGTCCAGTCAGCGTAATAAACATGCCATATGTGAGATACAGTCTATCCCCCTCTCAGACATGAGCTCGGATCCGCCTCCAAAACGACGAAATCCTACGTATAGGCCGTCGATCAGTACCCAAATAAATCTCTCTTCTATGCAACCATTCCCCGAGAGCACGTTCTGCATCTGTCGGAAATACTTTCATCCCTCGGGAGTCCTCTCCCAATGAGATGGGCCACCATAACTTGTGGCTGCTCCCAACCCTTAAGTCAATTCACGTTTTAATATCCACTGTTTACCCAATATCAGTAAATTCAGGTAAGGTCGACCAATCATCTAGTCCAGATATTAGATTAGGTCCAAAGTCGAATGGAACCATCCCTAAACCGTCCAGGGTTGGAACCACTTCACCATCCATGTCACACACACAATTATTGTCAAAAGAAAGTGTCTCGGCTCCTGGCATGTAGGAGGAGGACACTCCATCAAGCGTCACATCTAAGGCAGCAGGCAGCTTCACCATTGGTTCAAATACCGTACCAGCAGTTATCTGCTGCACATCAGTAGCATCTACGGCAATTTTTCTGTGTTTTGATTTAGAAGGCTTGGTTGAATCAGAAACGGGGTGTTTGTGTTTCCCTAAATACGGTGATTTCATTTGAGCAGCAGAACTGGCATCGCCGGTGGGAAAAGCCACTGATCCCTGCCCTACAGAACTTTCAAGACAAGTTCCTGACACATCCCTGAGAATAAAGAGAGGAGTTTTTCAGACTCGTATTCAGATAACATGGCAATTGACATGTTAACCATAATATCCAACCAAAATTCAGTAACTAATTGTAAAGAAATACACAGACTTCATACCATGTATTCTCAACAATAATCATTCCTCATTTCCAGGAATTTTGTTGAAATTGATTCCCATCCAAAACGAAGACAAGAGACAAGCTATGTCAAGCCTTCGATCACAAATGGCAAGTTTGGTAGGAAGGATTGAGTAGTATTGGACAATATCAAGAAAGAAAAATAAGTTTTTTTAGCTTCATTTTTCTCTTAATATTGTCAAGTGGATTGGACACCTTATCAAAAAATGCCATAAATGCATATGGACAGGAGTCTCTTGACCATAGAATGAATTCAATTTCTTTTGACTTAAGACAACAGGCCATTAAAAGAATGCACAATTAGCCAGACATTTACTCCAACAAATGTAAAGCTGTTTGTGAAAAGGTGGTCAGACCTGAATCTGTTTTCAACCATATGCTGGGAAGATTTAAAATGATGATCTGCTCCTGCATGTCCCTTAAAAGATGGGGAAGTGTCAGGGCCATTTATAGAAAGTCTTATGACAGACGGCAGGGGCATTGCCTCGTCCCTTTCCCCTTGAAGTTCAAGGGTAATATCCAACTGCTCATTTACCATCAATGGTTCCTCCTTTTGGTTAACATTGGAGGCTCCATCAGCATTTTGCATACTGCAGTCACCTTTAAGGGCAGCAGCTACTAACTTGCGACACTGATGCAAATTAGTCAAACTCATATTTTCTGATGGTTTCCTCAAAGATTTGTGAGATAAATGCTCAACTGTAGAAGCTAACAATTGGTCAGAAGAATAAAATCCACTCTGGGAAATTAATGAGCTTAGTTTGTGGCTATGGCTGGATAAAACCCTCCAGGTAGAAGAAAGCAAGGCAAAAAAATGCTTTTGAACAAGTGATTCGTGAGCAGGAGTTTCAGAAGCAAGGCCAAGCAACATCCTAATGTTGTCCTGACATGAACAAAAAATGCGTACATAAATCAAAAAATAATCTTGTAAATACATTAGATACATAGACGTGAAAAAATATGATGGTAAAAACATCTGAGACAAGAGTAAGACTAGTAGCTAATGTATAAATGCACAGATATAGATGGTAAAAACGTCTGAGACAGGAGAAAGACTAGCAGCTAATGTGTAAATAGACATTTATAGCACATCTATTAGAATTTTTTTGACATGCAAGCACTAGTATGTTTGCTGAGACTTGGGTCTATAACATAATAGTCTACCCTCCAGCTTCAATAGGAAAATAGATTGCATCAAAATGATTTACAGAAATGCTCCCCAAAAGTGCTTATGCTCTAACAGACGGACTTCGAAGAGTTGAAGCACAATTGGACCACAAAAAACAATACAGGGTACAAAAATTATAGTAAACAAATGACAGTTCTAGCTCCTCATTTCAGAATTGAAGAATAATCAAGTACTAGAAAAACTTCAGATTTAAGATCCATAGTGATGGTTAATAAGATAGCCAGTACTTCAACCATGAGAAGTTGGAAACCATAAATTTGATATGTCCTATAGCAAATATGTACCATGAAGTCTAAGACACTGTATTTCCATTCCTTGTTTCTTTTCCTTTTTTATAATTTTGTTTGTTTTTGTCTTCAGCAGTAGGAGGAAAAAGTTGTTTCTAGATCAACATACCTCAGTTACTTTAAGAAGAGCCTTCCCAGAGCCAGTATTGCCGGCTTTGTCATTATGTGGAGCATTAGTGCCAGACAAAATGTATTTTTGGATGAGTTCCCTAAACCTCTCACAACAATGGACTGGATGACGAAATCTTCCCCTGTAAGACCCACCAGCAGTCATTCCATACAAGATTTCACTTGCTAAGCTCCAATTTGGGCCATACTCATGGACAATAGCACACAACGTAGCATCTTCCTGTGACGACCAAAAGTCAGGTGAAGGGAAACAATCTTTAAACCAAATGTTCCCTTTCCTTTTTAACTTCTCTGGTTTTATTGTGAAAACCTGTTTCTGAGACATGACAGAAATTGAAAGTTTCGCCCCCATCTTGCTCTTGCTTGTTGGCTTGGATTCAACATCACCAATATTTTTATATAGCTGCAAGTCTTTAGGTCCATTCTGCTTCTTGCCAGGAAATTTAGAATGGATAATAGGGGATACATCAGAAGCCTTCTTCAATTTTTTGGACCTTCTTGTATTCTTCTGTTCATCATCATCTGATGCCGGCTTACGTTTCTTCTCCCCAGCAGAGCAAGGGAAAACTGCATCTGAGGAGGTTGACGTCTCATCATCAATGATTTCATCATCTATTGACATTGGTTCTACCCATGATTTTTCTTTTACAAATTTTGTTTTAGAAGCTAGAGCTCCTTTCTTTAAAGATTTGAACTTGGCTTTTTTAGTTTTCTTCGACTTGGGTTTTGGAACCACAGACACGTCATTCCTGTTTCACAAAAAGAAGTCATAATCTACTACAATAGGAAAAAATATATTCAAATCATAATTTATATTTCCAAACAACATAAATCTGCATTCAATAAGAGCTCTACAACCCATCTCATTACATCATGAAGAGCAACTATTGCTGCACTAGCAAACTTGGATACACTGATTTAGCAGAAAAATATTAGTTACCTTCAATAAACAAGTTCATGCCCTATGCTTTTTATTCCTATTATAATACTACTGTTCAGGCCAAAGAAGTAATGTCAGGACGCAATTGTCTATGTTACTGTATTAATACACACCCCTGCAACAATGATTTCCAAAAGCCACGAAAATAACTGGCATTTGAAACCAATTTTAGCGCTTGAAATCAAGAGAGAAATATTTTACAATCAAGTTAAGATGTCCGAGTGGTATAATGAGTGATGATGTCATTGGATAAACAAATTTCAAAGTTTAATGTCTTAGTATTCCAAACAGAAAATGATAAAAGTGATTTTAAGAAACATTTATAGATGGCACAGATGTAGAGCTTTAAAAGG